TCCTCCTGTAAAGACATTTTCAAGAGGTAAGAAGATGCTATATGTTAGCACTGGCTTATTCTTCTCCCGGGTCCACCCCCACAGGCCCGGGGTGGTATTGCAGCAGGTCAGCGCATGTCATTTTGGACACTTCTGAGCCGGGACCCTCCCCCACTGGTTTATATGTGTGATCTCAGATGGGCTCAAAACCATTCCAAGAAAAATAGATGCCTTTCAAAAAAATGGTATGGAACTTGGGGACATAGTTGTTACATACAGGACATGTTGTGTTGTGAATATTTATATTTTTCATACTCATGCATGCATTCCATAAAGTTAGAAATGAAGGAAACTTCGGGCTTGCTTTGTATTGAACTCCATGGACATGAAAAACAAAGACATTCAAAGCAATTCCTAATCCAAGCAGAGACCAGAAGCGTGTGCAACCATAAACTGCAGTATCAGTCATAGTAGTAGTAGTAATCTTTATTTATATACCGCCTTTTCACTGCACATCGGAGTCTCAAAGCGGTTTACAATTGTTATTTTTGGGAGTGGGGGTGCCAGTACAGGAGGCACATGCCAGACCTATTGTACATATTTTTAGTGGTAGGGGAAACCGGAGCACCCGGAGGAAGACACGGGGAGAACATGCAAACTCCACTCAGAAAGGCCCTGGTCCAACCGGGATTCGAACCTTCTTGCTGAGAGGCGAGAGTGCTATCCACTCAGCCACCGTGCCGCCCTGTCATCTCTCTATGGCAGGGGTCCCCAAACTTTTTCCTGTGAGGGCCACATGACCTGGCCCCCTTCTTCGATGGGGGCCGGGTCAGTTTGTAACAGAAAAAGTGTGATGATTGCAACATTGAAAAAGTTACTAACTAGTAGTAAATAATGAAAAATGTTCATAACTAAGGAACTTTTTATTGCAAAAGTCCAACTTTATGATCAAATACACATATGAGTGTGTTCACAGTAAAGTGTCAATTAAAGTATCTGGACTTTGAAAGGTTATAACTCAAAAACTAAAAATTACTATCATAGATTGGAAAAAAAATATTTCAAACACAGACACATCGAAGAGATAATGTGGATAAAATCTAAACAAAAGATTGACAAATATAATTTTGGCGACATTTTAAATGACAAAATCAGCCTCAGATTTGACCATTCTACTGTGACGCCAGTTACATAGAAAATAAAATGTCCTCAGTCTGAAAAAGCGGCAGATGAAATCCCACAAGATTATCATGGTGAACACAACATCAGTAAATCACTTGTTATAAAAAAGAATCATAAAAAAAATAAAAATAATGACCCTTGATAAATGTGTAACGGGCGTGATGGTTTCCGTCCATTTTTCTCTTGCAATTGAAATAAGAAAAAATAATCTGGTCTGTTTTCACATTTAATCACTTTGTTTCTACTCTATGTAAAAAAAAAATAGAATCTCTGAATCAAATGTGGATCTGAAAATATGTAACAAACTTCTGCAGCTCATTCTGTCAAATCATCAACGTTACATAAAATAAACAGGGCCACGATACGAAACTTGTCTAATGTATAAAACAGTTTTGTTCTTGTAACTTCTACTGGACAGAGGAGGGATTTGGAAACATGAAAAACATACAATATCTTTGGATTATTAACATCAAATTTTTGGCCTTTTGTCACACTTTTGTGTCCTTTAGTTTGAACAAGCCCAAATATGAAAATACACTCTGGTATTGTTCAGGGGCCGGAGCAAATGCAGAGGCGGGCCGTAGTTTGGGGACCACTGCTCTATGGTATTTACTTTCGCACAAGCACAACTCAAGTTAAATGGCTAAGGCCCTGTTTATACTGAGACGCTGCGCAGACGTTTCCAGGCTATTAACAGAAACAACCTGGCTCCTAATGCAAATTTCTCAGCGTTCACATGAGGTTGAAAAACTATGTAGTTCTAGCGCCCGGCCAGTAGTGGGCAGAGAAACTTTATCACACTCACACGACCCCCAGCCCCGTGCCCAGCCCCCCTCTCGGCAGCGTACTCACTTCCTGTGCCAGACCCTCAGAACGCACCAACATCATTCTACCTTTTAACAGCAACTGTGAAAATAAAAACTGGACCTAGAGCTTCGTGTGGTCTCGTTTGGACGAACAAAGGAGTAGAATTATCCTCTGTCCCGCGCTGGAAGCCCACGAAGCTAGTTAGTGTGACCGCCGCCATTGTTGTTTATCTTTGTTCTCCGCTACTGCGCATGTCCAAATGTACGTCTGGGGAGCAGCAGGAGGTGGGGGTCAGAGCAGAGGGGGATTTCACACCTTTTCCCTCTCGCGGGTGTGCAGCGTATCTGAGTTGTCCCACTCTGAGGCTGGATCTGAACACTTACGTTTTCACCTGGAACACAGTCTTCGTATGAACGGTTGGTAGAAACCGACATCCAACTATACCGTTTTACTGCCACATTGTCTCCGTGTAAACTCAGCCTAAGATACTGTTGTGGAAATTCTGCAGTGACCAAGAGCAAAAATAATGTAAACAACCAAGAGCTGTAAAACAATCAAAGTGTGAGTTTATTTATTAGTAAATGTGCACAATGAATAACAGAACCGATACCAGTACCACCGGGCAGCCGGCAAACCAACTGCCACGAATGAGGAAATGATGGACATTAAATAGACCAGAGTAAACAAACACGTATCTACTCTAGATATTACAGAGATGAAGTCAACGTTGATATGTGTTACTCAAGGCTTCTCTTTACGCTTCCTTAAACTCTGATACAACTCTGATATATGTAACAATCTGCTTCTGACCTGAACATATTGTCCTATGACCCAGATGAGGTCAAAGACATGATGCTGCACGTCTCCATCTATCACTGACCTGGATGACAAATTAATCCAGAGATGACTATTCGTAAATAACTTATACTCATAACTATTTGGTGTTAATTCAGATTGCTCTACTAAAATATTTTTATAACAATACCTACTTTATTTCAACTGTTTTCATTTAAAGCTGGCACATTTGTATATTTTAATCTGTTACTTTTATCCGTGCAGCACTTTGGAAACGTGTTCTATAAAATGTGCTTGATTAATAAAGTGGATTGGAAGATTTTTATGTTTTTTCTTTCTTGTGCATGAAGAGTCAAACATGAAATGACTTATGCTAGCTGGAAACTTGTAGCGAACGACCAGAGACACCCTTTCTATTAGATTAAAGCAGAGTGCTGATGCCTCGTATGAAATTTAGATAAACTTTGAAATATGTCTCCTTTATGGCCAACCAACTGCTCTTTCATCTTTGCATAACAAGAAGCAGCAGCCATCAAGCCAAGTGCAGTTGGCATAAACCCTTTTGAGTGCGTGTTTCTGCTCTATGGGCACATTCATTAAGGAAATATTACGTTGATAAAATGCCCCAATTCTGGATGAAGTTATACAAATAGTCTTTTCCCATTCTCTTTGATGGTTTGGTGCAATCGCAGTCCTGCTGAGAGGTCAAGTCAATGGCCATGAGTAAACAGCAGGGATTATTTTAAAGAAATGGGGAAAAATGCCACAAATCTCAGGCCAATATTTGGCTGCAGTAAGTAAGTAAGTAAGTAAGTAAGTAAGCTTTATTTATATACCGCCTTTCACAGACCAGAGTCACAAAGCGGTTTACAATTGTTATTTTTGGGCATTTGTCTCTCACTCCACACAGAGATGGGAGCAGGGTCGCCGAACAGGAGGCGCATGCCAGACCTATTGTACATATTTTTAGTGGTAGGGAAAACCGGAGTACCCGGAGGAAACCTACGCAGACACGGGGAGAACATGCAAACTCCACTCAGTACCAAAAACTTTTTCATGAATAATACATGTGTGTTTGTCCCAAGATTAAAAAAGTCTTGCAAGAGTAACATGTTAAATTGTATGTGTATGAGTTTAAATGGGACCACAAATTTCTGTCTTATTTGAAATTATTTGTATTTTTCAGCCTTGCGAGTCACTTTTTTACACATACGGCTGATATGTGGGCGGTTCTCTCACTTTTCTGTCCCAAAAAACTAAAATTGTGACAGAGGCCGAAGATAAGGGGAGCTGGAAGATTTTAACAACATATGGGTGTCAAAGTCAAGGCCCAGGGGCTAGATCCGGCCCGTGAATTTGTCTTGGCCCCAGGATGACATTTGTTTCGTATTAGAATTGGCCACACAGAGACATAAGAAAATAGTGGTTTATGCATTTAATGTTCAGGAGATGTGTTTTTATTTTGATTTTATTTTGATTTTAGTTTGTTTTTGGGCTATACAGGAGGGGGGCGGGACGAATGACCGAAAATAAAGTAGGCTAGTAGGCTAAGAACCCTAAGTTGTGCATGTCAGAAGGGGTGAAATATCGAATCCTTTCAGTAGAGAAACTATTATGAAACCAACAAATAGCAATAGCAGTCTCCAATATCAATAAGACTCCATAGACAGTGGGGATAAACTGCTACTGTAGCCACAGCTGCCTTGGGGCACACTGATATATGCTCCCCATGCCTCCATCATGCTTTTTATGTCCCAGCTGTCACTTGTATTTGTGTCGTATAATCTTAAAAAAACATTCTTTAACAAATCTATATTAAACCATTTAGTATATAAACACTGTACAGAAACAGACATGTGTTTCCAAACTCCTCCCATAATAATCATGAACTTGTATCAATGCAGAATAAACAGCTGCAGTTAGAGGTTGTTTATTGTTGTAGATGTGTTGTCAGGGCAACCACCAAAAACACACTTCGGAGTTCTGAAATTTCAGTTCCGGAACCTGAAAGCCCCGCTCACTTCACAGCTCCACAGTCAACTCACTCGACTCCATGGTAACGGGTGGTTGCCATGGAGCCACTATGTCATTCTGATGAGGTCATCGAGATTCTCTGTCAGAACGCGTGTGGATAGGTCGTACCACAGTGGGTCTACCAGTTGTAGCGGTCGCAGAACCAGGTGTCGCAGAGCCCCCAGTACCTTTTGCTTTTTATTCTTTAGACTCAACTGTAGAGAATGGGTCGCTTCAGTCAGATCTCGGTCTCATCGGAGCCCTCACTGCAGATCGTGAAAAGCCACTTTAAGCAGATCAGTGGCAGTCAGTGGGTGATGTTGGCCAGAGGCATGTGTGACTTGGAGACCGTGCGTATTCTGACCAGCATGTTTATCTCGCTGGTCCAAAAGCTGTCCGCCAACGTCTTGGGTCTGATCGCTCCGAGACGCGAGGTGAACAACAGGATCCTGAATAGGAGAAAGTCGACCCGGGCTCACGGGACCATCATCACTGTGCTTCAGAACACCATGGGGCAAGTGTTCTCTCAGGCTCTGAATCTGCCCACGGACTCGTTGGACAAACACCAGGACTCGCAGGAGCTCACCTCCCTGATCGAGCAGGAGGTGTCCATGAAGGTGAACCGTGTCCTTTCTGAGGAGCAGGAGGAGGGCCCTGTGGTAGTGGACGCCCTCATCAGCAGCAAGAGTGTGGCTCGCAGCATGATCGACAAGGGAAAATCCTGCCTCATGAGGTTCCTTCGCACCTTGTTCTGCTCCTGCGGCCACCGCGCTGCCACAAACGAGTCAGAATCTTCAAAAAGTGTGTCGTGCCGCTGCAGCTTCCTCAGATTTGCCAAAAAGAATTTACGAAACATGCAGGAAAATCTGGAGAAAGAACTTCTGGTTGAAGAGTTAGAGCCAGAGACGAGGAGTTTGTCGAGGGAGTCGAGCTGTGGGAAAACTCCTGGACATGCTTTGAGGACTCTAGAGGTTAGTTTTGAGCAGTTTCAACCGGAAGTAGAGGAGCTGTTTCAACAGTTAGATCTATCGACAAGTCCTGACGCAAAAACAAGTCAAGAAAGACTGGCCCAGGTTTTGGATACGGAGCAAACCACTGCCTTTGCACAGAAACTGATAGACATAATGTACTGTCACTTTCAGATCCTAAACAGACTTGCTCTTGCTGCGTCACCGAATGCGGAGATAAGGACTGAGTTCCAGAACCAAGACCCCGAGCAGACAAACACACGGAAAACAGGGGTAAAGGGTAAGCTCAGACACCATGACCTGAAGCGGACATACGCCACGGTGAGGAACGAGGTATTGGATTACCTTCAAACCTTACAGCATTACATCGCGCAAGACCCATTGGAGAACTTCTACCTCCAGGATCTGTTTGAGTTGTGCATCGAGAAGCCGCCTCTGTCGCCCAACTCCCAGCAGGCCCTGACGTATAATGTGTCCATTCCTTCTCAAGGGTCGGTCCCCGTCCAGGTGGACTTTCAACAACTGTCAGAGCAGTCTTTCAACAGCCAGAAACACGACATATTTGAGAGGTCTATGGCGCACCCCAGAGCCTGTGTGCCATCGCAGACCTCTAGAGACGTTCCGGAAATTGTCACTCTCACACCAGAGGTCAGCACCAGGAGAATCTCAGGCAACTCTGAGAACTCTTTGAGGATTCAGAAGAACGGCCTGTTAGAGAGGTCCATGGTGCCTCCCAAAGTAGAGCGGCCTTCTTTCATCTCTGAGGACGTCCAGGCGGTTGTCCTGAAAACCCCAGAGGGCATGAGAAGAATCAGCGACAGGGATTTGTCCGAGGACCAGTCCATGACTCGAGGCCTGATAGAGGTTTTGATGATTGAGATGTTCAGAGCTACTTTGCGTCCGTGGGAAAAAAATTACAAAGTCATCCGCGACCGTTTGACTGAAATGGTCTGGGAAGAAATCCAGCTTTGTGAACACCAGACAAAGAAAACGAAGAAGGGAATGAATAAAATCATTGACGCGATTGTTAAAGACCTCATATCACATTACGGCACGGAACTGGGAATGTTGGAAAGTGCTTTGGACAATATAGACGGGAGTTTTGACAAGACGGTTCTGAAGTCCCTGCAGTACCACATCGAGCACAACCTGCGGAAGACGTCTTTTCTGTGCCGCATGTTCAGATTCCTCTGTAAGCCCTTCGAATGCTGCTGCTGTTGCTTCTGCTGCTGCCGCACCATCGACGACTAAACGTCCACACCCCCAGAACACAACTGACAGTGAGAGAGATTCATCTGTAGCTACCGGAAACAATACACACTGCATCAAAAATCAAATAAAAAAAATCAAATAATGATAAATACAATTGTTTTCCTATTTGCCTAAAACTGTCTATAACTGTAGTTTTCTTAACATCTTGGGTCAGATTTAAAGAACGAGATTTCGGATACAAGCAGAGCCCAGACACGGGAGGAGCTCGCAGTAGAGCCGCTGCTTCTCCACATTGTTGGGGATGCCTCATGGACGCCTCTCTGGGGAGGTTTTCTGGGCACGTCCCAACAGAAGGAGACCAGGAGGAGACTCAGGACACAGAGGGAGGACACCAGGAGGAGACCCAGGACTCAGGGGGAGGACACCAGGAGGAGACCCCAGGACACAGAGGGAGGAGACCAGGAGAAGACCCAGGACTCAGAGGGAGAAGACCAGGAGGAGACCCAGGACACAGAGGGAGGACACCAGGAGGAGAACCAGGACACAGAGGGAGGAGACCAGGAGGAGACCCAGGACACAGGGGGAGGAGACCAGGGGAAGACCCAGGACTCAGAGGCACTATGTCTCTCTGGGAACACCTCAGGATTCCCCAAGATGAGCTGGAGGAGGTGTCTGTGGAGCGGGAGGTCCGGGTGTCTCTGCTTAGACTGCTGCCTGCATGACCCGGCAACAGATAAAGTGGAAAAAAAAATGGATGGATGGCCAAAGTGGGCGGCACGGTGGCTAAGCAAGAAGGTCCTGGGTTCGAATCCCGGAGGGATTATTTTAAAGAAATGGGGAAAAATGCCACAAATCTCAGGTCAATATTTGGCTGCAGTACCAAAAACTTTTTCATGAATAATACATGTGTGTTTGTCCCAAGATTAAAAAAGTCTTGCAAGAGTAACATGTTAAATTGTATGTGTATGAGTTTAAATGGGACCACAAATTTCTGTCTTATTTGAAATTATTTGTATTTTTCAGCCTTGCGAGTCACTTTTTTACACATACGGCTGATATGTGGGCGGTTCTCTCACTTTTCTGTCCCAAAAAACTAAAATTGTGACAGAGGCCGAAGATAAGGGGAGCTGGAAGATTTTAACAACATATGGGTGTCAAAGTCAAGGCCCAGGGGCTAGATCCGGCCCGTGAATTTGTCTTGGCCCCAGGATGACATTTGTTTCGTATTAGAATTGGCCACACAGAGACATAAGAAAATAGTGGTTTATGCATTTAATGTTCAGGAGATGTGTTTTTATTTTGATTTTATTTTGATTTTAGTTTGTTTTTGGGCTATACAGGAGGGGGGCGGGACGAATGACCGAAAATAAAGTAGGCTAGTAGGCTAAGAACCCTGAGTTGTGCATGTCAGAAGGGGTGAAATATCGAATCCTTTCAGTAGAGAAACTATTATGAAACCAACAAATAGCAATAGCAGTCTCCAATATCAATAAGACTCCATAGACAATGGGGATAAACTGCTACTGTAGCCACAGCTGCCCTGGGGCACACTGATATATGCTCCCCATGCCTCCATCATGCTTTTTATGTCCCAGCTGTCACTTGTATTTGTGTCGTATAATCTTAAAAAAACATTCTTTAACAAATCTATATTAAACCATTTAGTATATAAACACTGTACAGAAACAGAGATGTGTTTCCAAACTCCTCCCATAATAATCATGAACTTGTATCAATGCAGAATAAACAGCTGCAGTTAGAGGTTGTTTATTGTTGTAGATGTGTTGTCAGGGCAACCACCAAAAACACACTTCGGAGTTCTGGAATTTCCGTTCCGGAACCTGAAAGCCCCGCCCACTTCACAGCTCCACAGTCAATTCACTCGACTCCATGGTAACGGGTGGTTGCCATGGAGCCACTATGTCATTCTGATGAGGTCATCGAGATTCTCTGTCAGAACGCGTGTGGATAGGTCGTACCACAGTGGGTCTACCAGTTGTAGCGGTCGCAGAACCAGGTGTCGCAGAGCCCCCAGTACCTTTTACTTTTCATTCTTTAGACTCAACTGTAGAGAATGGGTCGCTTCAGTCAGATCTCGGTCTCATCGGAGCCCTCACTGCAGATCGTGAAAAGCCACTTTAAGCAGATCAGTGGCAGTCAGTGGGTGATGTTGGCCAGAGGCATGTGTGACTTGGAGACCGTGCGTATTCTGACCAGCATGTTTATCTCGCTGGTCCAAAAGCTGTCCGCCAACGTCTTGGGTCTGATCGCTCCGAGACGCGAGGTGAACAACAGGATCCTGAATAGGGGAAAGTCGACCCGGGCTTACGGGACCATCATCACTGTGCTTCAGAACACCATGGGGCAAGTGTTCTCTCAGGCTCTGAATCTGCCCACGGACTCGTTGGACAAACACCAGGACTCGCAGGAGCTCACCTCCCTGATCGAGCAGGAGGTGTCCACGAAGGTGAACCGTGTCCTTTCTGAGAAGCAGGAGGAGGGCCCTGTGGTAGTGGACGCCCTCATCAGCAGCAAGAGTGTGGCTCGCAGCATGATCGACAAGGGAAAATCCTGCCTCATGAGGTGCCTTCGCACCTTGTTCTGCTCCTGCGGCCACCGCGCTGCCACAAACGAGTCGTAATCTTTAAAAAGTGTGTCGTGCCGCTGCAGCTTCCTCAGATTTGCCAAAAAGAATTTACGAAACATGCAGGAAAATCTGGAGAAAGAACTTCTGGTTGAAGAGTTAGAGCCAGAGACAAGGAGTTTGTCGAGGGAGTCGAGCTGTGGGAAAACTCCTGGACATGCTTTGAGGACTCTAGAGGTTAGTTTTGAGCAGTTTCAACCGGAAGTAGAGGAGCTGTTTCAACAGTTAGATCTATCGACAAGTCCTGACGCAAAAACAAGTCAAGAAAGACTGGCCCAGGTTTTGGATACGGAGCAAACCACTGCCTTTGCACAGAAACTGATAGACATAATGTACTGTCACTTTCAGATCCTAAACAGACTTGCTCTTGCTGCGTCACCGAATGCGGAGATAAGGACTGAGTTCCAGAACCAAGACCCCGAGCAGACAAACACGCGGAAAACAGGGGTAAAGGGTAAGCTCAGACACCATGACCTGAAGCGGACATACGCCACGGTGAGGAACGAGGTATTGGATTACCTTCAAACCTTACAGAATTACATCGCACAAGACCCATTGGAGAACTTCTACCTCCAGGATCTGTTTGAGTTGTGCATCGAGAAGCCGCCTCTGTCGCCCAACTCCCAGCAGGCCCTGACGTATAATGTGTCCATTCCTTATCAAGGGTCGGTCCCCGTCCAGGTGGACTTTCAACAACTGTCAGAGCAGTCTTTCAACAGCCAGAAACACGACATATTTGAGAGGTCTATGGCGCACCCCAGAGCCTGTGTGCCATCGCAGACCTCTAGAGACGTTCCGGAAATTGTCACTCTCACACCAGAGGTCAGCACCAGGAGAATCTCAGGCAACTCTGAGAACTGTTTGAGGATTCAGAAGAACGGCCTGTTAGAGAGGTCCATGGTGCCTCCCAAAGTAGAGCGGCCTTCTTTCATCTCTGAGGACGTCCAGGCGGTTGTCCTGAAAACCCCAGAGGGCATGAGAAGAATCAGCGACAGGGATTTGTCCGAGGACCAGTCCATGACTCGAGGCCTGATAGAGGTTTTGATGATTGAGATGTTCAGAGCTACTTTGCGTCCGTGGGAAAAAAATTACAAAGTCATCCGCGACCGTTTGACTGAAATGGTCTGGGAAGAAATCCAGCTTTGTGAACACCAGACAAAGAAAACAAAGAAGGGAATGAATAAAATTATTGACGCGATTGTTAAAGACCTCATATCACATTACGGCACGGAACTGGGAATGTTGGAAAGTGCTTTGGACAATATAGACGGGAGTTTTGACAAGACGGTTCTGAAGTCCCTGCAGTACCACATCGAGCACAACCTGCGGAAGACGTCTTTTCTGTGCCGCATGTTCAGATTCCTCTGTAAGCCCTTCGAATGCTGCTGCTGTTGCTTCTGCTGCTGCCGCACCATCGACGACTAAACGTCCACACCCCCAGAACACAACTGACAGTGAGAGAGATTCATCTGTAGCTACTGGAAACAATACACACTGCATCTAAAATCAAATAAAAAAAATCAAATAATGATAAATACAATTGTTTTCTTATTTGCCTAAAACTGTCTATAACTGTAGTTTTCTTAACAGCTTGGGTCAGATTTAAAGAACGAGATTTCGGATACAAGCAGAGCCCAGACACGGGAGGAGCTCGCAGTAGAGCCGCTGCTTCTCCACATTGTTGGGGATGCCTCATGGACGCCTCTCTGGGGAGGTTTTCTGGGCACGTCCCAACAGAAGGAGACCAGGAGAAGACCCAGGACTCAGAGGGAGAAGACCAGGAGGAGACCCAGGACACAGAGGGAGGACACCAGGAGGAGAATCAGGACACAGAGGGAGGAGACCAGGAGGAGACCAGGAGGAGACCCAGGACACAGGGGGAGGAGACCAGGGGAAGACCCAGGACTCAGAGGCACTATGTCTCTCTGGGAACACCTCAGGATTCCCCAAGATGAGCTGGAGGAGGTGTCTGTGGAGCGGTAGGTCCGGGTGTCTCTGCTTAGACTGCTGCCTGCATGACCCGGCAACAAATAAAGTGGAAAAAAAAATGGATGGATGGCCAAAGTGGGCGGCACGGTGGCTAAGCAAGAAGGTCCTGGGTTCGAATCCCGGAGGGATTATTTTAAAGAAATGGGGAAAAATGCCACAAATCTCAGGTCAATATTTGGCTGCAGTACCAAAAACTTTTTCATGAATAATACATGTGTGTTTGTCCCAAGATTAAAAAAGTCTTGCAAGAGTAACATGTTAAATTGTATGTGTATGAGTTTAAATGGGACCACAAATTTCTGTCTTATTTGAAATTATTTGTATTTTTCAGCCTTGCGAGTCACTTTTTTACACATACGGCTGATATGTGGGCGGTTCTCTCACTTTTCTGTCCCAAAAAACTAAAATTGTGACAGAGGCCGAAGATAAGGGGAGCTGGAAGATTTTAACAACATATGGGTGTCAAAGTCAAGGCCCAGGGGCTAGATCCGGCCCGTGAATTTGTCTTGGCCCCAGGATGACATTTTTTTAGTATTAGAATTGGCCAGACAGAGACATAAGAAAATAGTGGTTTATGCATTTAATGTTCAGGAGATGTGTTTTTATTTTGATTTTATTTTGATTTTAGTTTGTTTTTGGGCTATACAGGAGGGGGGCGGGACGAATGACCGAAAATAAAGTAGGCTAGTAGGCTAAGAACCCTAAGTTGTGCATGTCAGAAGGGGTGAAATATTGAATCCTTTCAGTAGAGAAACTATTATGAAACCAACAAATAGCAATAGCCGTCTCCAATATCAATAAGACTCCATAGACAATGGGGATAAACTGCTACTGTAGCCACAGCTGCCCTGGGGCACACTGATATATGCTCCCCATGCCTCCATCATGCTTTTTATGTCCCAGCTGTCACTTGTATTTGTGTCGTATAATCTTAAAAAAACATTCTTTAACAAATCTATATTAAACCATTTAGTATATAAACACTGTACAGAAACAGACATGAATTTCCAAACTCCTCCCATAATAATCATGAACTTGTATCAATGCAGAATAAACAGCTGCAGTTAGAGGTTGTTTATTGTTGTAGATGTGTTGTCAGGGGCACCACCAAAAACACACTTCGGAGTTCTGGAATTTCAGTTCCGGAACCTGAAAGCCCCGCCCACTTCACAGCTCCACAGTCAACTCACTCGACTCCATGGTAACGGGTGGTTGCCATGGAGCCACTATGTCATTCTGATGAGGTCATCGAGATTCTCTGTCAGAACGCGTGTGGATAGGTCGTACCACAGTGGGTCTACCAGTTGTAGCGGTCGCAGAACCAGGTGTCGCAGAGCCCCCAGTACCTTTTACTTTTCATTCTTTAGACTCAACTGTAGAGAATGGGTCGCTTCAGTCAGATCTCGGTCTCATCGGAGCCCTCACTGCAGATCGTGAAAAGCCACTTTAAGCAGATCAGTGGCAGTCAGTGGGTGATGTTGGCCAGAGGCATGTGTGACTTGGAGACCGTGCGTATTCTGACCAGCATGTTTATCTCGCTGGTCCAAAAGCTGTCCGCCAACGTCTTGGGTCTGATCGCTCCGAGACGCGAGGTGAACAACAGGATCCTGAATAGGAGAAAGTCGACCCGGGCTTACGGGACCATCATCACTGTGCTTCAGAACACCATGGGGCAAGTGTTCTCTCAGGCTCTGAATCTGCCCACGGACTCGTTGGACAAACACCAGGACTCGCAGGAGCTCACCTCCCTGATCGAGCAGGAGGTGTCCACGAAGGTGAACCGTGTCCTTTCTGAGGAGCAGGAGGAGGGTCCTGTGGTAGTGGACGCCCTCATCAGCAGCAAGAGTGTGGCTCGCAGCATGATCGACAAGGGAAAATCCTGCCTCATGAGGTGCCTTCGCACCTTGTTCTGCTCCTGCGGCCACCGCGCTGCCACAAACGAGTCGGAATCTTCAAAAAGTGTGTCGTGCCGCTGCAGCTTCCTCAGATTTGCCAAAAAGAATTTACGAAACATGCAGGAAAATCTGGAGAAAGAACTTCTGGTTGAAGAGTTAGAGCCAGAGACAAGGAGTTTGTCGAGGGAGTCGAGCTGTGGGAAAACTCCTGGACATGCTTTGAGGACTCTAGAGGTTAGTTTTGAGCAGTTTCAACCGGAAGTAGAGGAGCTGTTTCAACAGTTAGATCTATCGACAAGTCCTGACGCAAAAACAAGTCAAGAAAGAATGGCCCAGGTTTTGGATACGGAGCAAACCACTGCCTTTGCACAGAAACTGATAGACATAATGTACTGTCACTTTCAGATCCTAAACAGACTTGCTCTTGCTGCGTCACCGAATGCGGAGATAAGGACTGAGTTCCAGAACCAAGACCCCGAGCAGACAAACACACGGAAAACAGGGGTAAAGGGTAAGCTCAGACACCATGACCTGAAGCGGACATACGCCACGGTGAGGAACGAGGTATTGGATTACCTTCAAACCTTACAGAATTACATCGCGCAAGACCCATTGGAGAACTTCTACCTCCAGGATCTGTTTGAGTTGTGCATCGAGAAGCCGCCTCTGTCGCCCAACTCCCAGCAGGCCCTGACGTATAATGTGTCCATTCCTTCTCAAGGGTCGGTCCCCGTCCAGGTGGACTTTCAACAACTGTCAGAGCAGTCTTTCAACAGCCAGAAACACGACATATTTGAGAGGTCTATGGCGCACCCCAGAGCCTGTGTGCCATCGCAGACCTCTAGAGACGTTCCGGAAATTGTCACTCTCACACCAGAGGTCAGCACCAGGAGAATCTCAGGCAACTCTGAGAACTCTTTGAGGATTCAGAAGAACGGCCTGTTAGAGAGGTCCATGGTGCCTCCCAAAGTAGAGCGGCCTTCTTTCATCTCTGAGGACGTCCAGGCGGTTGTCCTGAAAACCCCAGAGGGCATGAGAAGAATCAGCGACAGGGATTTGTCCGAGGACCAGTCCATGCCTCGAGGCCTGATAGAGGTTTTGATGATTGAGATGTTCAGAGCTACTTTGCGTCCGTGGGAAAAAAATTACAAAGTCATCCGCGACCGTTTGACTGAAATGGTCTGGGAAGAAATCCAGCTTTGTGAACACCAGACAAAGAAAACGAAGAAGGGAATGAATAAAATCATTGACGCGATTGTTAAAGACCTCATATCACATTACGGCACGGAACTGGGAATGTTGGAAAGTGCTTTGGACAATATAGACGGGAGTTTTGACAAGACGGTTCTGAAGTCCCTGCAGTACCACATTGAGCACAACCTGCGGAAGACGTCTTTTCTGTGCCGCATGTTCAGATTCCTCTGTAAGCCCTTCGAATGCTGCTGCTGTTGCTTCTGCTGCTGCCGCACCATCGACGACTAAACGTCCACACCCCCAGAACACAACTGACAGTGAGAGAGATTCATCTGTAGCTACCGGAAACAATACACACTGCATCAAAAATCAAATAAAAAAAATCAAATAATGATAAATACAATTGTTTTCTTATTTGCCTAAAACTGTCTATAACTGTAGTTTTCTTAACAGCTTGGGTCAGATTTAAAGAACGAGATTTCGGATACAAGCAGAGCCCAGACACGGGAGGAGCTCGCAGTAGAGCCGCTGCTTCTCCACATTGTTGGGGATGCCTCATGGACACCTCTCTGGGGAGGTTTTCTGGGCACGTCCCAACAGAAGGAGACCAGGAGGAGACTCAGGACACAGAGGAAGGACACCAGGAGGAGACCCAGGACTCAGGGGGAGGACACCAGGAGGAGACCCCAGGACACAGAGGGAGGAGACCAGGAGAAGACCCAGGACTCAGAGGGAGAAGACCAGGAGGAGACCCAGGACACAGAGGCAGGACACCAGGAGGAGAACCAGGACACAGAGGGAGGAGACCAGGAGGAGGCCCAGGACACAGGGGGAGGAGACCAGGGGAAGACCCAGGACTCAGAGGCACTATGTCTCTCTGGGAACACCTCAGGATTCCCCAAGATGAGCTGGAGGAGGTGTCTGTGGAGCGGGAGGTCCGGGTGTCTCTGCTTAGACTGCTGCCTGCATGACCCGGCAACGGATAAAGTGGAAAAAAAATTGATGGATGGCCAAAGTGGGCGGCACGGTGGCTAAGCAAGAAGGTCCTGGGTTCGAATCCCGGTCAGAACAGGGCCTTTCTGAGTGGAGTTTGCCTGTTCTCCCCGTGTCTGCGTAGGTTTCCTCCATGTGCTCCGGTTTCCCCTACCACTATTAACATGTACTATAGGTCTGGCATTTGCCTCCTGCACTGGCCCCGCTCCCATCTCTGTGTGGAGTCAGAGACAAATGCCCCCAATTGTAAAGTGCTTTGACTCTGGTCTGTGAAAGGCGCTATATGAATAAGATTACTTTAATGACAATGCCAGTATAAGATGGACAAATGTTTGACACGTCACAATCTGCAGT